TTTGCCACAATTATTACATTTTGCCTTATATCTCGGTAACTCCGAGTAATATTGTTTTAAGTCGTCAGGTAGTGTGTAAGTGTCATTATCGAGAAATATTCCATGTCTACTTAAGTGCATTCTCATTACTCTTGTGTATTTTGTTGGGTGAGATACCTTAATTTCTCTTTTACAGGTCGTGCACTTTACTAGCAAAGGTTTCAATTTCTCGAAATAATTCCAAAACTTGCTGCGCTTTTTTGTCGGTGTCGTACTGTAATACAGATTGTCCGACACTAAATGTGGTACAGCGATTGCATCAACAAGCGTTTGTAGATTTTCTCTAAAAGGTCATAAAGAAACATGGTTTACTTATTAGGATGTATGTTTATACGGATATATAGTTAAAATTTGCACAATTATCAGATTGCGTATAGATCTTTAAACATATTAAAAAAAAAAAAAAAACGCACCAAGTGTACATGCACATTTGTGATCAAAATTGCGAATAAATATTATATGGATACCCTGAAACTATTATTCACTCAATTTTCTTTAGCTACTGATTGTTTTATTATTACATTTATTTTATAATCTTTAGTATTTTAATAATTTTTTGATTGTGTACTTACTCATCTGTACTCTGGATACTTGTGGAATGTTTTCTTAAATGTGTTCGTAAATTTCTAAAATTTATTAAGAAGGATAATGTTTTGCCGCAATTATTGCATTTTGCCTTATATTCCGGTAACTTCGAGTAATATTGTTTTAAATCGTCAGGTAGTGAGAGAGTGCCATTATCGAGAAATATTCCATGTTTACTTAAGTGCCTTTTCATTACGGTTGTGTAGTTTTTTGGGGTAGATACCTTAATTTCTTTTTTACAGGTCGTGCACTTTACTAGCAATGGTTTCAATTTTTCGAAATAATTCCAAAACTTGCTACGTTTTCTTGTCGGTGCCATTATAACCGTCCTGTAATACAGATTAATCGTCTGATACTGAATGCGATACAGTGATCGCCTTAATATGCATTTCCAGAATTTCTCACAAATGTAAAAAAAAAGCACGGTTTACTTATTGGAGTGTATAATGTTTATATAGATATATAGTTTAAATTTGCCTAATTACCAGATCGCGTACACATTTCATACCAATTGGTATCAAGAGTTTCTACGGTGTAAACCAAGTCATAGAACTATATATATACAACACTGGAATGTGAACTCTTATGCTAGCGCCCGGGTCATGAGAAGATAAAGACGGATTGCTTTGCGACCGTCCTCCCTCTGTTTAGCAGACATTTGATTGGTCAATGGTATTCAATTGTTGTCGAAAAGTACATCAGGGGTGCGTTCAAATTACGCCTAGGCACACCTAGGTAACTCTAACACAGAGCTGCGTTCAAAAATTTAACATGGGTAATTCTAAGCTATAGTTACGTGCACTATAGCATTAGAGTTATCTAAGTGCGCCTAAACGTATTCCTGAACGCACTCTAGTATAAGTACATACAGTAGTGACACTGAGCGTCGGCACCTCTGATGTAGTCAGTAGTGGGTCCCAGGTCACGGACTCGCCGCCATCTTCTGGGCTGTACGAACGCTTAAGAGAGAAAGAGAGAGAAATATCTTTCTCTTTGTCATACATAAAAGCCATATTTCTGGTAGGACTTATTACCACCAAAAAAGTTCAGTTCCTCTACTGTGTATACTTATACTGTGACTCTAAGGGGCTGCGCACAATAAAAGGAATAGGGAACAGGGAGTCGATTCTGTATCTTGGGACGAGGTAAAAATTACAAAAGAGACAAAATTCACTAGAGAATCTACAATTTCATTTGTTGAAATTTAGTAAATCTGTTCACTTTTTGTAATTTTCACCTTATCTCAAAATACAGAATCGACCTCCTGTTCAATATTAATATATGAAATTTGTTAACATATGTAATTTATTAACACAGAATAAACGAACAGAGAAATAGCGTTAAAGAACAGTAATGAAATTTTATTCTATATTCTACATGCCATGTGAACAATGCATATGTTAATATTAAATTGTTCCTTATTCCCTAGTCCCTGTTCCCTGTTCCCTATTCCTTTAATTATTATATGCAACCTCTAATGCTATAGGTTAAATTACTGAACTCAACCCAACAAAAAAGGACGGTTGGCCGCACTTCTCCCTCTCGCTCATCCCCTTTTCTTCTCGAGTAGAGTGGATCGAGTTCTGGGTAGCGATCATTTAACTTTTTTTTTTAGAGCGGAAACGTGAAAAGTGAAAAGTTTCATGTAACTATCTCTTAAAGAAAGAGATAAACTTTTCATTTTCCACGTTTCCAAGTTTATCTCTTTCTATTCAACACCAATATAGAAAGAGATAGTTATATGAAACTTTTCACTTTTCACGTTTCCGTCTTAGAGGAAAAGATACATGATCGGTTCCCAGATTCTAGTTTAGTACTCTGCGCGATACGTTTTCGGACTTATGTTTATAGGAACTTTTTTGCTTTACATTCACAATTTCCTATATAAGTCGACCCTGTAGTTTTATTGACTTGACCTGCAACACCCTGTATATCAAAATAATTTTTAAATTTATTGTTACTATTGGAAAGAAAAACATAATGTTATATAGAATGAATTGCATAATGTTAAAATCAAAGCGAATAATTACTCATTAAAAACGCTTCTTTATTCTTTTGGTTGTTTAAGCGATGCCTACGTACGGTTTTTCTTGAATACAGATAATTTCCGACTCTAAAATGCTATGACACAATGGAATCAAAATCCGTAAGAAAGAGACCATTGATTTTCAAAAACTCGAAACATTTCTGTAAATTCGAATACGGCATGATTAAAAATAAAACATGCATTATTAGACGTTTTAATTACTCTAAAATTTAAAATGTTATAGTCGTGTATATTGCTAATGAATCAAAATAATATTTTTGATGTGTAATTAAAAAGTAAGCAAATTAATTTGTTTAAAATATTACAGTTATAAATTATCTTTGAAAATAGTAAATATTTGAATATTAGATGGGATATCATTTTATTGTATAAGCAAAACGTATAATTACTCATCAAGTGCGACTGTTCCTTACCATTATTTGTTTAAATGAGTGAATAGGCAAACACGGTATTCTTGACTTTGACGTTCTGCGGAAGGATCCACACTATAATTCGCTAAAGTTGAAGTGCTTGGTTTGCATAAAAATGTGATGTGATTAAAAGTAAAAAAAGTACAATAATAAAAATGTTTATACTTGTACGGTACGTTATAATTGTGTGGAAAAATTAATATTTAACTAATTGGGTATTTATTACATTGTATAATAAAACGAATACGAATGAAGTGCGCTTGTTCCTTCTGTTATTTGTTCAAATGATTGAACAGGTAAACCAGGTTGTTCTCCACTTTGATGTTCTGCAGAAGGATCACTCTCTTAGCGTAAAGAGCGTGCTCTGTTCTTATTCAATTTTCTGTAAGTAACAAATATAGAACGACACTCGAGTGTCAAGAGCGTGGAACACAGCTTAAATCGATTTATGCACGTATCTCGAAATCGTAACTTACAATATCAACAATCGGTTACGTTCTGCACTTATCAACATTTTCACTTGACAGAAAAAACTTTATAATTATTGTTAGCATCGCGGCTCTTTAATTTCTTCAATATTTATCGTAAATAATATCTAATATGTTTTTAATGTATTTTATAAGAAATTAAAATTTCGTTTGTAGGTAAATTTCTATATACATTTGTATAATTTTGCAACCTTGTCTTTACTGACCTCTACTGTAGAAGATTATAGTTATTATGAAAGCTGTGCAATGGGCGGTTCGATTAGGCGTTCAATTTTTTAAATAATAAAGAAATAATAAAGAAATATATTGCCTACTTTGTTGAGAATTTTATTTAAGAAATAATTTATTTAAAAGAAATTAACTTGTCTTACACAAATTTAATCTTATTTGTTCTTATATAATATATGGTAAATTTGCCAAATTTTATTTAAAATATTTTGAATTTGAACTATAATAGCTTTATATACAATTTTTTAAATTAGAGGCCCAGCAGATAAAAACACATTTACGTTAAAGATATTTTTTTTAAATTGATGAAATAAAAACTTTGATTATTACTTGCAAATAATAACAATATTGATATTTAATTCGTGCATATATTGTCGGTATGTATACCGACTTAAATTACTTGCGTAAATGGCGGCGTCTGCACAGTAGAATTTACACACGATTCCAATTAATAGTTCCGTTTATTTTAGCTTAGGGTTTCGATCTAAGCTAAAATAAACGGTCTTTATGTCTATACAATCATGCGTATCATATATAACGTACGTGTACAGATATGTATACATACATATCAACGTGGTACTAATTGAACCAATTTTCAATGATTATACGTTAATTTTTCTTGAAAATTACTGTTAATTATTGTTTGATATTGTCACAATTAAAAATGTGCTTTGTAAACACAAGAATAAACTGTGGTAGTAAAATAAAAAATATCAGGTGTTTTAAAACCTATTAAACAATTATTTTTTTCATCATTTTTTATCCACTTTTTAATCTCTTCAATAGCCGTACTTTCATCACCAAGCATCCATTATTGCGAGTCGTATTTCATATAACTTCATTGGATTTTATTGTTAATTGTTTATTTTATTTTTTATTGTATTTTTTACTGCGTCTCATTTTATATGTTTATGCAAAATAATTCTACCCCGTTGCAATTTTCGTGTTTTCAAGTCAAGCAAAATTTTTGCTCTGTCTTTGAATATTTAATTGAATATTTAATTCGATTTATTTGTGACCGTGATTTTTCCATCTGATCTCGCAAATTTGATTGCTTTGATCTCTCGGCTAGATCTCTTAAAATTATTGTCCCCTACACTGAGAAAAAAATATTTTAATCTAAAAAAATATTTATTAGGTGGCTCATCCTAATAGCATTATTTACTTACTTTTTACACATATTTATTTAGAATTAGATATTTTTATTTAATTGAAATAAAAATATCTAATTCTAAATAAATATGTGTAAAAAATAAGTAAATATGCTATTAGGAGCCACCTAATAAATATTTTTTGGGATTTTTTCTCAGTGTAATGAACAGCGCGAGAGAATGTAAGTCGCGAATAATTAGGATTCCTGCCGCGGAAGCGTGACGCAGCATGCAGGTAATTAGCTGCAAGTATATATTCGCCCAGGAGAGCATCGGTACTAATCTGTCTGGGATAGTTCGCTATCGTGCCCGCAATCGTGTTGCTCTTTCCGGTCTGGTGAACAGATTCGATTCCACCTGTGACATATATATATAGTTATTTATATCCAGTTCGGCTGTATATCTATTTCTGTCCTCTTCAACGTACTTTTAGCGCAGTAATTAGATTTATGGGATCCTCTTGTTAAATCGATTATCTCTTTTTTAACTGTCTTAACATTGTCATAAATAGTAATAATTTATCTCTTATAGAAAGATATCCCTTTATTACACACGAGCAAAAAGCTAACGATACACACATATCAGTAAATTACTTCTCTTAGCACTAACACAAACTGTTATACTTCTCAAACTTTTTTTGTTCATAACTTTTTTTAAATAAGCAATGATCGCCAATTAAGCTATGAGGAAAGGTTACTCAGGTTACTCAGAGTCATGTCTTTGACAACATATGTCAAGCTGAAAATCATTGGCGTGGTGTCCTCTATAAAATAAATAATTACCAAGATTTCTTTTATTCATAACTTTTAAATAAGCAATGACCGCCGATTAAGTTATAAAAAAAGTTACTCAGAGTCATGTCCTTGACAACATATGTCAAGCTTAAAGTCATCGGCGCGGTGTCCTAAAATAAATAATTACCTTTTTTAATAAATAGTTAATTAAATTATACTTATTTATATTAAAAATAAGAAATAAGAATGTAGAGAAATGTTATTTATTATCTAACAATTCTGAAAAATACTTATTTATTATCTAAATAAATAAGTAGTTAATTAAAGTAACTATATTTATTTAATAATAAATAACTTTTTATTAGATTTATTTATTAGATAATATATATATATATATATATATATGTGTGTGTGTGTGTGTGTGTGTTAAAACTACGTTACTAATAATATTTTACTAATACTTTCTGATAAATGGCACATTTCTAATAAATAAATAATTAATTAAAAATTAACTGTTTATTTATATTAAAAATATAAAAAAAATTATTTATCTAATAATAAGCAAATTTAATTAATTATTTAATTAATTAA